CTGAGCCCTGGCGACGCCTCAATATGCATTCCCATGAGATGCTATTCGGCCTCGACTGGTTCTGACTCCGACTCGGACTGAGCAGCATCCGAGTATCCGTCCGAGTCCATCCGTCCATCCGTGTGGACGGCAAGTGCTCAGCGTGCCAAAGTGTGACATCGCCGCGTGATGGGAGGACATTGCACTCGCCACACATTATTGGCATATTGTAATTACATTGCAATTAAATTGAAAACGAAATCAAAATACAAACTATGCGGAATCAATTGCGCCACAACAACAAAAATAAACAAAACTAGCCAAATAATTGCATTGGCAAGAACAACGACCACGGGCCCGCATCTATTCTTGGCTCCAAACCTGCTAAGGGGCTGCGTCTAGATATAAGCAGAGCCCCATTAGCAGACAATTTTGCATACTGTGCATTGAGCTTTATTATGCGGCAATAGTTTAAAATTAAAGAACGCGAACGAATTTAGAATTTATTTTAGCGATGCACACGATGCAAACAACTAACTGCGCTCTATTCGGGCGTGCCCGACTCGAACATGGCCCGCAGCGCCGAGCTGGCGTTACAAACGTTCGAGTTACCTTGGATACAGGTATATTGTAGGGAATCTTCTTCTTTAAAGTCCTACGCTATATATGGCAAGTAGGTTCCTAATTAACTTCCGTCTACGTAGTACGATCCTTTTGAATTTTTTAGTTCTTTAACATGGCATATTAAAGAGGGTATATGCCTAAGCGCAGCGTTCTACCCTTCTACCCCAACTTCGGGCAACTGAGCAAAGTTTTTCAAAAAGTGAAATACTCTATAATACATCTGTGTAAACTATACAGAAGCTTACAAACCAAATTGAGTGTAACTAGTTCTTCTTATTTTCGAGTTATGAGCAAAAAAGCAGATCTCAAAATCGAAATTTATCGATATTATGAAAATAGCAGGAGTTATCGAAAAAATTATAAGTTCTCTTAGAATATAATATTTCAATTTTTAAATCTCTAGTTTTTGTAATATCCCAGAACGACTCTCAACGTTTTCGTGATCAAAATATATGTACTTTGTGCTATCAGAGACTTTACATACATTTACCCAAAAACAACATACCCCATTTAAGCATTTTTAATGGGTGTAGGGCAAGAATTCAATTTAGAATGGGCGTCATTAAAGCGTGTGAACCAATTGAAGAGAGAATATGTCACGCAGAAACACAGCCAATTAATTTGGCAAACTTTGCGAATATAATCAATATAATAAAATAAATGCATAACTATTACGTCATTAGGGTTTGTCCGAAAGCGCGCTTAGTGTATAAAAAGTAGCCCCAAAAACCAGACGCAGCTTTATTGATGGATGCTGTAGTTGGGAACGATCCAAGCGAAAAGTCGTAGACAATGGACAATAATCGGCTGGGGCCTAGTTTTGTGTCTCTGCATTGCTTATAAAATTCGCATAAATCAACACAGTTAATTAGGCAGGCGCCTGAGCCAATAATAATCATTAGCAAAGCCGCAATATCTTTTCAAAAATTAAATTCATATTTGTGGTCTCGCGCGAGGTGTGAAAATTACGAGCAAAACCTGATCAACCCCAAAGTCAGCGGCAACAAATTGATCCAAATTTGAGATACACTGTGAAACAGTTTGCACCCAAATAGTTCAATCGGTCGGGATCTTTGGGAAAACAATTATATTGCTAGAAGCTTAAGAAGCGGATATTAAATGCAAACAAATAGCTTTTCATTACATTTACATTTAGTCAATAGCCCAAGCACGTAGACTGTTTACTGAGTCGATTCAAATAGCTTACTTAAAGGATAGATAAACAAATATTACTTATTTAGTGGGCAGTGCCCGACTATTAGATACCCTAACACCAGTTAAGGCATTCCGACTTCCACAAATCAACTGATTAAGAAATTCCACCCGCATGTGTGGAAAATGCACGGAAAACGGTTTAGTTTTAAAAGTGCTTTTCCCATAAATAGAAATACAAGGATCTTTATACAAATTCATTTCAGACGTTATTCACACTTTTCGCCAAATCCACCCTTTCTGGTTAAGAAATGCGTGTAAGAAGTTCTATAAGTGAAAGTTTATATTTCAGCTGCATGATTCTCTAATCGAGACAAAAATAAGCGAAAATCGTTGATCTTAAATTATTTTTTTGAACTTAACACAGGTTTTTTAAAAATATCTGAATGTCTTTAAATTTTCACCTGGCGGGAAATGGGTAGAAATATGACTTTAAGCGAAAAACTTGAAGCAGGCAAATCTATGATCTATCTGTCTGAGATAAATGCATTATAGAAAGAGAAGGACATAACTAGATCGTACCAGCTCGAAGTTGTCCCCTTCTGCCTGTTGTCCACTTCAATAGATTTAGGGTACACAATTAATGATCATGTATTTGCCACAGAAATGCAATGGGGCTTTGATGATGCGACTCTTTAAAAGGGGCGTACGAGCAATGCGCGGCAAATAACAAAAGCTGGCAGCCAAAGAAATGGAATTTGTTGCTGTTTCTAATAGAAACAACAAAATTTCACACGCCAAGAGAAAAAGAAATAAGAAAAACAAAACCAAAACCGAAACCGAAACGAAATTAGCTGCCGGACGGCAATAGTAAAAATAAAAGATACAAAAACTGTAGACGAAAATGACTCGTGATTATTTTGCATACGAAATGCTGTCTCATAAACAGTTCTGGCGACGTCATCAGCACGTGGTCGAGCCAGCTCGGATACATAAATGCAGACCTAAATGCAGATGCAGATGCATCTGTGTATTTACACACACCCAGACCCATATGCATAACACTTATGCCAGCTCTGACGCAGTTGAGCACACTTTCGAGCCCTCTCTCAGACGACATCAATTTGGGGTTTTCAAGTTCAAAAGATTTGCTCCGGGGCTGGGCGAAGGCGGGGGCAACGACAACGGCGACGATGACGCGCCCGTGCCGCATGCTGTCCCGTGTAATCCGTGAAAACTGCTGTAACATTTTGCATTCGGCTTAATGGCGTCGCTGGCGTCATGGTTTGTCATCAGCTGCCGGCCACATTCGGTTCCTCTTGCCAATAATTCGAATAATACGTATTGCAATAATAACAATAAGAATGCTCGACTGTGCACGACTAGCAGTTACCCTGCAGTGCCACAAAAATTGGAAATTCACGGAAGAATCTACCCTCGACTTGACACTATGAGAAATATCTACAAAAATGTCATAACTTCGGCATATAAAGCAATAGAGGTAAAGTCTTGATAACTCTAAACGTAAGCTCCTTCAATTTTAATAGTTGGTTAACTAGTTGAATATTCGGGATCTGATTTGATAGCCTACATTGATACCAACATTGTTGATGATTTCCTCTACTTATTAAATATAATAAATAAATAAATATAATTTAATAAAACTTTTTATCCACTTTCAATGGATTCAGGCTATATACATATATTGTCTTTGGTAGAACCCAGGCCAATCCCTGAATATTGCTTTCCTTTACTAGGCAACATTCTCTCTAACAAAGTTCGTAAACTGGAATATATTGATTATGTTCAATTGTTGGCATCCAAAAATGTATGCCCATCACTTTATTCCCTAGGAGCTAGACTTGCGAATAATAATAATAAGACGTCATGATTAAATGTTGTGTATATGGCCAAGAAGAGCGCATATCCTGCCTGAAGGCGTGCATAATTTCCAACCTCATTTCATTTGCCGTGTTTTGTATACATAAACGTGCCATGCAGGTGTGCGTGTGTGTGTGTGCATGTCATATAGATTTGTACATTTGTAAATCATTTTGCGTCAGACATTGTGTCGCTCTGCCTCTATTTGCGCCTGTCTGCCACAGTGGCTGCTCCTCTTCGCCGTCTGCTGCCTCCGCGATGCTTTGCTGACGCGGGTAAACATGTGTTTGCCAGCAGCAGCAGCTACGGCGCCAAGACGCAGGTGAGATGAGGTGAGGTGAGGTGAAGTGAAGCCAGCCAATTGGGATAAGCGAGACTCTTACATCTATTATTTGCCTTATTCTTTTATGTTTATTACAACTGTTATGCGCTTTGATGAAAATTGATGTCGTCATCGTGCATCGTAGTATTCTCCCCGAGGCGTGTCCCACAATTTAGTTAATGCCAGCTGCATGCATTCAAGACTATTCGCAGTCGTTTTTCTGCCATTTAATTACACAGCAGCTTTGGCAATGCGTAATATTGCGCATACGCAACGTGTGCCCACTAATTAGAAACAAACAACCACCACCGATAGGAGTCGTATACATACACGTGTGTATTCCGTTACTGTGCCAACTACTGCTACTGCTGCTGCTGCTGCCGCTGCCGCTGCCACTGCCACTGCCGCTGCTAGCAGCCAACTGCTGCTGCTGCTGCTGCTGGCCGGATAAGCCGGGCGAGCCGCCGCCGCCGCCGGACGCGTTGATCGAGCAGCCCAAATGTCCAATATCGCAGCCGTCAGGAAAGAGATTGCGGCACGGATAGATCGCAGCCGGAAAAACAGCGGCTGCCGCTGTTGTTGTTGTGTTTTTTGTAGGTGTATTCAAGTTCTGCCTGTAGCAGGAATTGTTATTGATCTCATAGTAGATGCTGCTCTCGTAGTGTGGGAACGTGTACTGTAAGGACTCGCACTTGATGGCCGGCGATGGCAGCAAAAGTTTCACTTGTTGATGCGGCTGCTGCGGTAGCATTTGTTCATTTTGATCAGGAAACCTACTTTTGTTGTTGTTGCTGTTGCTGTTGTTGTTGTTGTTGTTGCAGCTGTGGCTTAGCGACGCCGACGCCTCTTGCTTCACCACAATCAGGGAGGCAAGACGATCGCGCATTATAGTTAATAGAGTTCAGCCAGAGTCTGGCGTGTGTTAATGATGTGAATGGCGAATGTGACTGTGAGTGATAATCAAATGCTGACACAAGACACAAAATAAACACAGAAAGCACAACAACAAATATAGGACACATGGAGGCAATGTATTAAACACCTGTATGGCGCACTGCAACGCGATGGAGATCCAGCACGACGTCCCAGCTGAAGCCAACCCTTGGCAATTCGCCAGCCGTAGTTGTTTTGCTTATATATATTCAATTGTAGTTGTAGTCAGGCCCAGCTATGGTTGCGCCCTGCTCTTCATTATTGTTTCTCGCGGCACTTTTGTTCTCGCCTATTTTAGCATGTCCTTAAACTTGAACTTGCGTTTACTGCGATTTGGCCCGGCGACCTTCCGCTTTTCCCTTGCCCACTAAGCGTTTGCGCACTGCCAACTGACGACGTAAGCAACTGACTACGCAATGGCTTACTCACGTTTACAAACACACACACACACTCACACGTCTGTGTATATGTGTGTGTAGGTGTAGGTCTCACAAGGACTTATCTCAATGTTATTCGTAAGCAGCGTAAAGACATCAACAATCTTTTCCTGTTGCAGTTTAAACAATGCACCTGCACTGAAGTCTATCAAATCATATACAATTGATACGATTTATTCACCGTTCTGCCGTCTACCGTCTACCGTGAACCGTTAACCGTTAACCGTCACGTTACACATACGCACTGTGGCACGCGCGCTACAACTGCAACGGAGTTGTGCGATATTACGCATACGCTGCGTTGTCAGTCGGCTTCCGTTTCCGTATTGGACTAGATATGACAACTTGTTGCAATTAAACGATTCTTTGAACACAGCACATTATTATTTATTTATCAATATTTTAATTAATGCGCGAATTAGTACGTGTACATACATTTTGATGCGTGTGTGCTTTGGATGTAAAAAGTGCCGTTTGCTAATTATATTTGATTCAGGTATTTAGTGTTTGGGCTGGTTTGTTTAATGTTTGCGAAAAGTTGTTAACAATGCGGCGTCTGTGACGCGACTGAACTTATCTTTACGGTTACACGCGACTATATCCAAACGGAGGAGCAGCGCACAAAACGAACAATCTGCCTCAGTCGGCGTCGCAATCGTTTTGGCTGCCAGCTGGTTGCTTGGTCTCTACTTGTGTGCCTGCCAGTTTGCGCGTGTGTGTGTGTGAGAGAGGAAGAGTGAGCGAGCGAGAGAGAGAGAGAGAGAGAGAGAGAGACGGAGAGGAGACCGTCGTCGGGTGCAGCACACGACCTACCTTGCGCGCTCGGCTTTTTGGTAAGCCAAATCGTAAGCGCTATTACGTCATTCCCGAGCCATCATCATCAGCCAAAGCAGGAGCTGGGGCAGCAGCAGCAGCCGCAGCAGCAGAGCCGCTGGCTGCGGCAGCAGCAATACACAACTCGTGCGAGCGAAAATCGATGACGTCGTCGTTAGGGCGCCTGCGCTGCTGCCAAAACAGCAGTGGGCAAATGCTATATACAAGCACGCAATAATATAGATGGACGGCTCGACGTCGACGTCGACGTCGCATGAAAGCGAAGACGGAAATAATTTGCGTCATAAAAGCTCTGCCCTCTCTGTTCTTTTAACGACGGCAGCGGGCAGGTGACAACAACAATAGCAAATTGATTTTTTTTAAGTTACCTTATTTCTGCTATCTAGCTGCTTCACCTGAATCGTTCTCCCTCTCTCCCTCGCTCTTGCTCAGCTCTGCTTTGCTACACGCACGCCCACATCGAAAATTATCCTTAACAAACGGAAAGGGAGCCGGCTTGCGGTTACATGTACCGGTAAGTGCCTTGTGGCTTCACGTAGGCTTACGTGCGTGCATGTTTGTGCATGTATAACATGCGTGTTATGTGTGTGATTTTCGCCTGCTTAGAACCTCCATTAAAAACCTAACGCTTATATTCTATGAAAACAAATACTTAATTGTTAGCCTAGATAAACATGATCATCATTTTTGTATAGGGTATACAAATGTTGATAATAGATCATCTTTACCAGGCCCTCTAATAAAATACACTGATGATCATCATCATCATGCAATAGCTGTATGTAAGTGTATTATTTGTAGTTATATTAATGTGCTTTACCATTGACACCAGGGTGTGCAGATCACAAGCATGAGCGGTAAACAACCGTTGTTTTTATACACATACATACGTAGCTGACACAGCTCCTCCCCTGCAACTAAAAACAAAACTAAAACTGAAACTGAAAGCAACAAGTGACACCCATGCATACACACACACACACACACACTCACACATAGAAAACGTGAAGCCGAAGCTCGGCTCACAATCCTCTTGGGCTGCGAGAGCACAAAAAAAAAAGAGTCGTGGACAGAGACTGAGTGGGAGAGTGAGAGTGAGAGTCGGCCTCGTAGTGCTTGATTACCAGTTTGAGGCGGAGCAGAAGTATATGTAGGTGAGGCCGGTAACGTTTCGTTTTCGTTCGTTTTGCGAGTTCGTGCTGTGTAATGCATTCGTTGTGGCTATTTTTAGACAGATTCCAAGCCACGTTTTCTAACTGTTTTTAGCGTATGCCTGAGCCTGAATCACAACAGAGCTTTGAGACAAACGTGAGATCGTCGGTCAGCCGACTTGGGCGCAGTGGGCTCTTCCTTTCGATTTCGCTAGATTTTTTTCCCATAATGCTTTTTCTGCGCTCTGGCAGCGCCAGCGGTCCCAGCAGTGTTGCAGTGCAGTTCACCAAATTCATATGTATGTATGTGTGTACATATGTATGTGTGTATGGAGGGAGATACGTACAAGTTGAATTTTGGGAGCGACGCAAGTGGAACTGGTCTGGTGTTGTTGTTGTTGTTGCATTTATTCATGGCTGCTTCTGACTTGTTGGCGCTGCTGCTGACCCGCTCGTGGCCCCAAAAGTGCATACACACACACACACACAAACACACTCACACATACTCCGCGGCGGACAAGCGTCGGAGTCGAAGTTGGAGTCGCTTCCAAGATGTTATTGTTGTTGGTTTTATTGGCTGTATTAAGCATGGCTTGCCAGGCCAAGCCAATAGCTGGGCACTCCTTGCTTTTGCTTTTGCTGCTGCTGCCGCTACCCCTGCCCCTGCACCTACCCTTGCCCGTCGAATCGCTTTGGCTTTTGTCTTTTTCTGCGATGATATTCTAAATGTGCTGCGCCAAATTTACCTCTTCGTCTGTACGTCTGTTCGTCTGGGCCTCTGTCTCTGGCCTAATCCACGTATCGTTTTCGCATCGTTGCGCGGAGTTCGTGAGTTTAATTTAAGGAATTTTAGCTCTTTTTGATTGCTGTTTAGGCTTTGATTTTTGTATGTCTTTACCAAATTTCAATTAGCAAGCGGCACTTTGCGTTTGCTATTGCGCCTTTTTGTTTCTGCCTTTATTGTTGTTGTTGTTGTTGTTGTTGTTGTTGTTGTTGTTGTTGTTGTTGTTGTTGTTGTTGTTGTTGTTGTTGTTGTTGCTGTTGTTGTTGTTAGACAGCGCATTTGTGACGGCGCCTTTTGAATCATTTGCATAAATTGCTTTGCTTGGTTTTGGCCAACCCTTTACCTCTCCTTAACTTTGGCTTGCTTTAGTTAGGCTGGCTTCATTCCGTCCCGGACAGGCATGCCGGCATGCCGACATGCCCATTTTATCGATGACCCACCTATCTATTACCGGGCATAACTATAAGCCAAGTTACCCCCATAACATCCCATGCAAATTTTCGGCTCTGCCTGCAGGTGCATTTCGTGGCGAATTATTGTCATTATATTGTATTTTATACCTGAAAACGTCTAGCATCTATTGCAATACATAAAGTGCAAGTATTTTGTGCAACTTTTGTTTTTGGCCAGCTTTGCTTTTGGCCAAATTGCATTTTGAGGCGAGCATGTCAGTATATCACGTATACGCCAGGCGTGTAATTCACTTTGGTAATGAATGATAAAGTTTGCAAATAATTCGATTGAAATCTTAGAATCCATCCTTTTCCGTATAATCATAAGCATATCAAAATAATCCTAAGCAAAATAGGTCATATAACAATGCAATAGCAAACAGTCTATACTACTGTATGTATCCTGATCCTGATCCGTATCGCTTGCCAATATAGTTAGGAATATAAATTAAGTCCCGACTAGAAGATTCCCTGAACTCATCGAGGCGTTGTCCTTACAATCAGCTGCCTTGAGCTTCCTTCAGCTCCCTTCCTTTCAGCTTCTTTCAATACAGGCAAAAGCATACGCAAAAGCACTCTCTCACACACACACACACGCGACTGTGCTTCTTCTTCTCTTATCGGCATATTCCCCCACACAAATAATGGGACATGCATTCTTGTCGAGCTGATGGAAATGAAATATTAGGACTTAAATATGACACACAAATAAGTGCACGAACCAAAGCACAAACTATATTTAAAAATAACTTTCTTTCAATTACGCCTGTTAATGGGGGCGAGTTATTCAAAAAGTTAAATATGCTTCATGTATACATAGTTTATACAGAAGTTACTTAATGAATTTGTATTTACACAAACTAAAATACCTGTCCTTACTTGACTTTATAAATTAGTTACTTAATAAAAACGACAAAAGAAATCTCAGGCAAAGTATTCAATACATTTTAATACAAACGTTAAAAGCCGCGAACCTAATCAGAATACAAAAACGTCCAATAAGATCGTCGAATAGAGGGGGCGGGGGGATAAATTCCTGCCCTGAGAATATACAGCTGAAGAGGATGTCCTTAGTAGGGAATAGATAGGGAATAGGGAAATATTTAAAATTTGTATCTAAATAAACTATATTAAGTTAAAATATTTATTAATCAGAATTAAATATAATAAAGTTCGATGAAAATAAAAGAATTTAAAAATCTGGAGGAGTGTCTCAAATATAGATTAGATAGTAAGGGAGTTAACAATAACAATTATAAGTTTTTTCAAATAAGAAGAAAGAGAAAGGGTAGAGGAACCGAACGGGAGATCAGCATTTCCTTAAGATTTAACAGACACTAAATAAAACTTTAATCCTCAAAATCGTAATACACGTATACGTAGACAATCAAAGAGCTATGACGTGGACAAGCTAGTCCGAACCCATTTGAGTCTTTGACCTCAGCGAAGAGATCCCAATTAAAGGCACGGTTTGGTTGCCTTGAAGCCGAAATGAAAATCGATATGAGGAGCGTGCAATATAACGGTAAACGT